TGCCTCAGGAGATGCTGCTACTTAAGGACTGGAAGGGATCTGTCCTTCTTTCCCTCCTGGACTTTTATTTGGAGGGGAGAAGAGATCTGATCATTGTAAATACATATGTCATGGTAGAGATAGTTTTGTGATCATGTGTATAATGTGATATGGTATTTATTTGTACAGTCATTGTAATATATTCCCTTTCCCCCACTTTGAGTCTGGTGTGTTTTGTCTGGAAAAAACCCATCTCACATTAGGTTGAGATGTGGGAGGGGGAATGGAACTAGGGGATTGGATTTTGGGGCTATCTCAAACCATGACAATAGCTCATCTGAGTGATGTTTGCCTTAAATATACCAGTTTTTAGTTTTTATTTTGAACACATAGTCCAAAGCTGCTACAGGAGAATCCAGCTAATGGAGGGGTGTTAACAGCTGAAGCTCTGCTACGGCACTTCAGAAGCGTGGCATCTTCCCCACTATGTACATAAGTGTGGTAGGACTAATCCAAAGGACAAGGTCTGGATTGGTCCTACTGTATAATCAAGGACTGTTTGTATCCTGTGTTTTTAGGGAACTCACTAAAGAAAAGTGAAGATCAGGTTTGTGCTAATAAGCTTGTGTTGTAAGCTTCAGCTTGTAAGATGGGCATCTTGGTTAGAAAATGGCCTTATTTTTAGTTCAGTGAATCAGCATTCATCTTTATTCAATGCTAAGTTCTACCTGGTGAATTAGTTTTAGCACAAATATCAGTCTGCAAAAGCGGTGGTGCAGGGTTAGGGGTTTGTGGGAACTTTTAATCCAGGTTTATGTCAGTTCGTGGTTTCCAACCTTGCTCAGAATTTCGGTTTCATATAAGGGATTTGCATGCCTAGCAGCTGAGGCATTAGCCAAATTAAAGTTTCAGAGGCACTTTGCTGAAGTGTGAGAGCTTTTAGGAGCTTTCTGTCCCTGTCCACACCCACACTGAACATCTATTTTATATGGGGATAGCTTCCAGGATACATTAGTGTGGCTGCTTGTTGATAGTCAAGAGACTTTTTCTTTGTATCTATTCTGAACAAAGCATAAAATGTTGGTCTTTTCTTTTGTAGAGATGAAGATGACATAAATGATGTGACTTCTATGGCTGGGGTCAATCTTAGTGAGGAGAATGCATGCATTTTGTCAGCAAACTCTGAGTTCATTGGTACAGTGATTCACTCTTGTTCAGATGAACCATTTCTCTCTTTGGAAGCTCTTCAGAAGAAGATCTTGAACATAGGTGAGAGCAATGCACATGTAACATATATGTATGGATGTAGTATTTTCTTGCCTCTTTCATCAGCCAGCCTCCAATCTATGAAGAAGGACCTAGAAATATTAATATCTCCCATTTCAATTCATGTGTTTCTACCAAACTATACTGATCTTTTACTTTCCCTTCTAGGAAACAACTGTCCTTTAAGGTTTTTTTTAACATGGAAACAGTCTCAAGCACAACAGAAAAAAGAAACTGATGCCACTTCAACATGTGAGAAGTGAGCAACTTATTACTCTTAGACTTAATGGAACACTTAACAACCATAAAGATGCTAGTGTCAAAACACTTACATGTGCTTTTTTATCTCTGCAGCTTCTAACTTGATGCATTACACTATCTTTCCTAACAATTTTTGCATTTCTCAGCCTGTTCAGGTATACATGCTCTATTGACCAACATAAAGAAGAAGTTTGCAACTGCCAATACACGCAGGACAGACTTTTATTTACAACTCCTTCTGTGGAAAAAACTTCAGTTAATTTTACACAAAAGAGATGTTGAAGCTGTTTGTCTGTGTAGCGGATAGTACTGTGGAATGTATGTTGAATGCGTGTGACTAAACTGCAGTAGGAAGTTTCTAGTGTACACATCATTTCAACTGTTAGCTTGCAAGCAAAATGGTAACTGTTGCTTAGCAGTGTTGTACTGTGTCAGAGCAGGGAGCATGCATTTGTAACCACGCTGAGTGGTACCTCTGCTGTCGACAGCAAAGTCGATGAGTGTTGCTCTGCTCCTTGCTCGTGCCCTCTGCCCCATAGCTCTCTGTGCTGGAACAGTGAGTTTTACAGCTGAGCATCCAAGAAAGCCTGTGGTTGTACTTGCAGTCATAATTCTGTCACAATGGTTTAGCTACGTGATCACCAAGTCTTTCTCTTTCTAGACACACCTGGTTCTCAGTCCAAAGTAAGCAGCTAACCTGTGACAAGTATGTAACCTGCAAATGCTACCTGCAACCTCAGTACCCCTGCTCTGGTTAGCCAGGATGTGTCATCTGAGCTGTATGAGGCATAGTAGAGTGAAGTAAGTGCTGTGTTATTAGTGGCAGGGGGAAAATACTCATCAAAACTGGTGCCTAGAAGATTTTTTCAAAATTCGGTAGAGGATTAATCAATCCTTCTTGGGAAGTGTATATAAAGAAGAATTAAGAGCTCTTCAAAAACACAGAGTACTTCTAGAATAATTTGCTGGTTTGGGGTGCAAAGACAATTCATTGAAAGATAGAAAATAGAAGCCTGGTTGTTTCATGGCTGGCATGGTAGTTGTTCCACATTAATAATAATAGGAATAATTCATGTCATAAATGAAAAGTGTTTGATTGCAAGGAAAGGAATATTGCTAGGGAGTACAGCTGTTCAGAAAATGAACACATCTACTTTTGAACCGAGCCCTCTTTGAATTAAGAAGTGTTTGTGTGGAGGGAGGTCTTGAGGTTTGAAGGGATTTTACTAAGTCTTTAAGTTGGTGTTTCGGTGTTCTGATAATCTAGTGAGAAGCTGCTGAGGAAGTATTGAAAAGTCCTTGAGCAAAATGAGCTTTGCATTCAGCTAAGGTACACGCCAGTGCTTCCTGATCAAATACACTTTGATTGTATCTGGGAAAACATCCTAGATTCTCCCTGTCTTGTGAGATTGTTAATCATTTTCAGTTAGAGTAGCAAAGGCAAATGAAATAGGTGATTAGTTTTTTTACAGTGTGCTGTTTATCCATTCTTAACACTTCACTTGGCAGTAAATACCGAAATGGGTTTTGAAGGCGTGCTGTATATTGCATCATAAAGTATTACAGCTGCTGTAAATGCAGCAAGGGGCAAGGAAAAGCACTTCTGACAGGTACAGTGTATGAGGCATGTGAAGCTGCTGCCTGCCGTGCCTACCAGGGAAAAGTTGCTGCTGTCCAGGTGTCTGGATGGAGTCGTGTTGAGTGATCGATGGTGTCAACTGCGGGAAGGCTTCTCTGTCGGCAGCCTGCAGCCGCGGGAAGGTTACGGAGGTGATGCCCAGCTCTGGGTGCAGGGCCAGCACAGCTTTGCCTGGAGCTGTCACCAGCCTCGGTCGCAGCTGCTGAAACGCAGAGAATCAGCAGCAGCCCCAGAGAAAAGGTCGAAGGCGATGGCAGGATGACCCCAGCTGGACTGGAATCTGTGCTGTCCGAGCTGCTGCTGTGGGTCGGTTGGGCCTGTCTGCCCCGTGTCCGTCAGTCAGGGCACTTGAGAGGGTCCTGTGTGCCTGGAGTGCGCTGCAAAACCCATTCCTGCTCATCAAATAAATGTCATGAGTTGTTAACAAGCACGGTGTCAAGCAGGGCAAAATGTAATTCTGTATTTTTTTTAATTACTGGAATTAACAGAATATGGCACTAATTTCTACAGCTACTGCTTCTCCCCCTCCCCGAACATGAAGCTTGATTTGTGTTCTTATTAACTTTGTCCTATAAATGACCTTGCAAGGAGAGTGGTTCTGGAGGCTAAGTGAAACAATGTCTATATTTTCTGAAGCTCCAGGCTAAGTTTTATTAATGTAATGTCTAAGATCTTTGAAGTTGTGACTTTACCAGGAAAATCATAATCTCCAAACCTTTATTCATAATGGGTATGACTTCCAGGGGGAACAGAATACCTGCTGTGCTAATTATTTCAATTATCAGCTACTACTAAAACACGTAATGGATTTTCTCTGCTTCCACAGGTAAAAGGCATGACATTATGGAACTTAACTCTGATGTTGTGAACTTGATCTCCCACGCTACACAGGAGAGATTACGAGGGCTCCTAGAAAAACTAACTGTAATTGCTCAACACAGAGTATCAACCCACAAGGTAAAGGAAATCATTAGGCAAGTTTTCCACCAAAGTTTTCCTGCTCTGCAGCCTTGAACCTCTTCCAAGTGTAGGCACATCATAGGCAATATGTGCATTTTCAGTAGTTACCAAAGGCTGGTGTTAACAGTTATAGCTTATAACTGTTCTATTTGACTTGTTGGACAGGTGCTCTTAAAACCTAGCATAAGACTAAATGCATGTGTTTCTTCTCTTCCACAGAAGTGTTGCCTGTTATGCAAAATTTATCTTACATGTAAAGCTCTTTTTGAATGCTCTTGATGGTGGGTTGATTTAGGGCCTTGTGTTTTCCTTATGCATTTACTGTTGGTAGAACTGCAATATTGATGCAGTAAAAAGCCTTGGTAACCTGAATTGAATATTTTACTTTCAGAAGGTGCTCCATGTGAAGGCAGAGACCCTTTCGATCTCAAGATCTTCCTCCCTCCCTCCTCCCCCCCCCAATACTTCAGACTCCCTCCCCTCCCTAGCTAATACAAGCCCCTCTTATTAGCTTCATTCAGTATAAAGTATATTGGGTCCCAGTAAGCCAGTATCCCTTGATATGCTTGTATGGTACAAATAGGAAGCAATAATTTACTGGCTAAAATAGCCTTTTTTTTTCGTGTCGTTGAATAATAAGATATTGATCCTTATTTTCAGTATGAATCTGTCTTAGAAAAAAAATGAAGTTAAATGTATCTGTCAACTCTTAAGGTCTTGTTTGTTTGGGTTTGGTTTTTTTACAAGAACTTTTTACTTAATGAAATTTAACAAGAGCAACTAACTGATGGAATAGGAGTTATTTTTGTACTGAACACTTTTTATAGACCTTTAAGCACTGGAGCAGCAATAGTAAAGAGGAAGAACTATTTGGAAACTTTTAAGCATTTGTGGTGATGTCTGAAGCAGTTGGAGTATGCTATTCTTTGCCAGAAGAAAATATAGTAGAAAAAAAAATTAATACAGGAGAAGTATGCAGTTTTTTATGAGAAGTTTTTAGAAATTTGCACATGTTCTGTGTTATTCCTCTAAAGTGGAAGGTACAATTGAACTTGTGAGGAAAAGTGAGAAGGCACACTGAAGTCCTGAGTAACTAGTAGGACTAAGAACGTAAGGAAATGTTTTTTGGACAGTAGGCTCTATGGGGCTGATTTATTTCTCATTGAACTAAAGCAATAGAAAAACAGATAGGTTTTTGTCTGATTGAATTGCCAGAAGCAATGATAAGATTGTAAGACTTCAATAAGCTTGCTTTCTTATCCTCTTCTCTCAAAAGCAAAACAAACAAACAAAAAGTAACGGGCATAGTAATCCTAGAGGCACAGGTAGCCCCTTTTGTTAGGAAGATGGTATTCTGCTACAGAGGAGTGTCCTACAGGATTACATTTGTGAGTGATGTTACTGTGAGAGATGCTGACAGGCTTTTAGAAATCTAGGAGCAGAACGCTGCAGGGTTTTGGAGTCACGTTACTCAGTTGGTTAAAACCTGGTTCTAATAATGCTAAGTTCACAGGTTTGATCCTCATGAGCAATTCGCTGACGAGTTTGATTCGATGATCCTTCTGGGTCCCTTCCAACTCAGAATATTCTGTGATTCTGTGATTCATATATATATTTACATAGCCCTGTATTACATCTGCCCCGGTGCTTACCCCCTCTTCTCTTTTCCCTCTAGGCTATTGATTGGTACCATTGTGCAGTGTGGGCTTCATGTATTTCAGATAATTTCCCAGAACCTTTCCAAGAGTCAGGTAGTTGGTTTGTAAGGCTTTATATTGGCCTGTCTTCAGTACAAAAAAACCCTTCAGTAAGAGGAATAGGTGTGGTACAACCAAAGTAAGTTGTTATGGTAGGAGTTGGTGTACAAATGCCAGTAATTCATGGGATCATACTCAGGAAACTCTTCTTCCCAGTTTGCTCAGCTCATGCCTAGCAGCTTTCATCTGATGGATAGCCCTGCAGAGAGAGTGAATTGGCAGGGTAAAAGCTTCATACCATGCCACCACGTAGACTTGCCAACTTTTGCTAAACTTTAGGAAAAAAAAAAAAGTATGTAATTGGAAGTTACTAAGTTAATTAGGATAAAACTATCATGGTGGTCTCTCTATCTGAAGTAGGAATAGCCTTTCAGATTGTTGTAAACTGCTCACCGTGATGCAGCTCTTGCTGCAGTGCTCTTAAAGAGCCTTTGTAAGACCATAATGGGAATTAGCTAGCTGGTTTAGTTCCTTGACTCTTTCTCTTCTACAATCTGGAAAACTACTGAGGTGTAAGAGTATGCATGTGACGTGATACCTCAGACTAGAATTCATAATGACAACTAAGCACTACAGTGATTAAAGAACATGTTTTATGTGGGTGGATTCATCCCAGCACGCAGCGGCTGCCCTACTCCTGTGGCCGGAGCCCATGAGCTTATGGTTCAACATAAACTGCATGGTAATGGTGCAGCGTGGTAGTGCTGTTGAGCTATAAACAGTGCTCCATGAAAACATTTTCCCCACATGCAGCTCTAAACTACTTTATCTGTGGGGTGTATGGTGTGGGTGATATGCTTCATCATAACAGTGCTGGCTACAAGTTAGGAACAGGTATACAATGTGATGTTTTCCGTCTAAGCAATTCAGTGCTAAACAATCACAGAGAAGTTTATTTTGAGTAGGACAAAACACAACTGCAGGTGTTCCTCTTCTAAAAACTCCTGAAATGATCTCTCTTAGAGCAGTTGATGAGCTGAAATACTGTTATGGTTGCACCCATTTCTTGTCCTATATAAGCTTGTGGTAGTGCATTGGAGACCTGCCGGTTGAGAGACTTGCATTCCTAATTGGTGTAGGGTCATGGATTTGGCTTAAAATATGTGTAAACATCTGACTCTGATTTTGGGTATTCCAAAGCGAAAGACTTCTAAACTTGGGAAAAAATAATCTTCTGGTAATACAGCTTTCTTCTTTGTCCTTTTAAAAGGATTGTGGTATGGTGGTGGATTATTATAAGCTGCTGCTTCAAAACAAGTTGTACTAATGTACTGGGAGTGATTCAAAGTAGTGTATGCGTTGTGGGGAGTGGTAAAAAAAACTTGAGTGGTAACAGAAGACGGGGAGAAGGTTTGTTGGACTTTCTTGCAGAGCCACAGACACTGCTTTGGAAAGAAAGTCTCTGGTTGCAACATATGGTGTGGTTTTAGCCCCAGTTGGTAATACATGACAATGGGGTGGCTCATTGAAAAGGACCAAACGTAATACCAGGAGAAGGATTGATTTCATGCTCTGGCCGGGTTGTGAGAATTCAGATTAGGAGACAACAGTGCCCCACAAGAAGACTTTTACTTTCCTTACAGCTTTTAGTAGGGTGTGACTGGGTATGGGAGGAAGAATCTGAGTGTAGTATGTTTGAAAACTAAAAATTGAGCTGCTGAAGTCATTGATATATACTGATAAGTCTATATACTTAACGTGTAACCTTGCCTAAAATACAGCTGTAAAATATCCTGTACTTATTTCAGAATAGTTGTATGTCAAAATTGATTCATTAGAGTGTGAGATTGGGGTAAGATAGAAAGAAAAAGTTGCTGAAAGTACCTAGTGTGTTAAGCTGAAAAAAATTTCTCAGGGAAACAAGTTCACAAAGCAACAGAGAAAGAAGGTAAGTGTAGGACATGCATTAAAAAGTGGTACAAACAGGTGGCATGGACATACCTCATCTAGAATGGGCTCCTTGTCCTGTTTTGCTTAACGCCCTCTGGCCAACACAAGGCTTAAATAGCTTGCCTTTAGAAGAGCAGCATAGTAAACCCAAGTTTTCCTTTGCTAGTTGACCACGTTTTGGATCTTTCCTTTCTCTGTCTTTCCAATCTACAGTAAATGTCAACTCAGGCTTTCCAGTGAGGGCAAAATTGGAATGAAAAATGAACTACTGATTGCTACTCTTGAGACCAAAATGACCCTAGTTTTGTTTCAATGCCTGTGTGTCCAGTGATTGTTGGAACTAGTCATTAGTATTCACTGGCCTGATTTTGTACAGGTGGTTGGACCAGATGACTTTCCTGGGTTACCCTTCAACATAAACTATCCTATGACTTGAGAGCGTTCACTGAGGCAATAGTATGTGTTCTTAAAGCTGTAATAAACCATATCTAACCATATCTAAACCATATCTTCACCCCCAAGATTCATTATAACTAGTTCTAAACCACCCCTCCGCTACATAAAACTTTTTTGGAAATACCAGGTAATGCTTATTTCAACTTCTGCATTAAATGGCTGAAACTAGAAACTTAAAATGTCAAATTCTAATTTTTTCTCTCTTTAAAGGGGAAAGGATATTTTCCTAAATATGTTTACTGGATATGAAGTTGATGGTTTAAAACAAAATTTTAGTCTTTTAACTAAGGTTAGGGAAGACTGTTGTAATTTTAGTCAATATAGAGTAGATGTTTTTAATGGCACTTGTTCAATAACCTTTTACTAGTCACAGACACCTAGAAACATGCTTCAGTGGAGAGGAGATGTGTAAATAACTACCTACCACCTGAAGTCTTTCTAAAACAGGCTACACTTTTCAACTTTGAAAAATAGTGTTGTTCTGTTCAGATTGTTCCCATTGGGTTTATTAGCTTTAGTTGTGTATATAAAGGCCTGGTTGTCTATAACAAACTTCTTTTTTTCCAGGGGAGTGATAAGTACATCGTATGTAGTGACACCAGAGCACAGCTGAGGTTTCTTGAAAAGCTTGATCACATAGAAAAGCAGAGAAAAGATGAAGAGGAACGTGAAATGTTGCTTCGAGCAGCCAAGGTAAGATTCTTGCTTTCCAAGGAAGTAGTTGTGTCCTCTAGATTGGTGAACATCTTCAGGTTTCTTCTATTTCCGCTTTCAATGTAGTAACCATTTAACCCTGTTGCTGGAAATTCATAATGTTTAGGACAGTTTAGGCTTTACAGAAAAGGATTTAGCCTATTTGCATTTAAAAAAAAATAACAGGAGTTCTTTGAAATGTGTGGTGGGGTGAACTCTGCTTTTGAGATTATTCCTACTGGTCAAAATTAAATAAAAAGCCAAAAATATCCTTCCTGGATCATTTTTGGCTTTGAAACTGAAGCCTGGTGAGATCCACCACCCTGCTAGATGTATTTATTTTCTGTAGTCAAGATCAGAGGGCTAGCCCAGCATCCTTGAAGCCCTGATGGAGCTGTTGTAGTATAGAATAAGTACCTTTCTTCTCCCTTCTCTTTGCTCCAGAAGAGAAGCAGAAAAAAAAAATCTGTAGATGTTGCTCTATCAGGTGTGACTTGATCATCTGTTTGGGTTTTGTTTGTTTGTTTGTTTGCAGTCCGAATTCTGGAGCCCCTTGGATGGAAGCCTAATCTAGAGTTGAAAGAACAGTGTTGTGCTTGCATGAATACAACTCCCTTTCTTTCCTGTACTTCCTGTCCTTTTTAAGTGTCTGCTGCTGACATGAACAACATCATGCCTAGACTGGACCTGACTGACAGTGTTAGCATCATTTTCAGCTTAATCTTGCTTCAGGCTAGAGCAGAGGCAGCCGGCCCAGATGAGGAGGGGTGTGCACGTATGTGCATGGAGGGGGATGGAAGCCAGTCTGGATTGAGGCATTCACCCCTGGAGCTAAATCTTTCAATCACCAGAGAAAATTGTCATTTATTAAATATTTAACGGATACGATGGTGTTTGGATGCCAGTAATTTCTGTTCAATCTTTTTTCCTCTTCCTTTGCTAGAGCCGTTCCAATAAAGAAGATCCAGAGCAACTGCGGTTAAAGCAGAAAGCGAAAGAGGTAGGACTTTGCAGTTACCATGCTTGCCTTTGTGTGTTGAGAGAAGGTTGGCAGCCCTGTCCTGGCAATTAGGTCAGGGTTTATTTTGCTGCTGCATACCATTTGCAGAGGCCTTGGGGAAGGACAGGAACTGCCACAGGCAAGGGCAGTGCTTCAAATGAGGTCAATGAATTATGAGCTCTCTTTTTTTAACATTTTATTTTTGCAGTTTCAGTCCTGTCTAGAAACAGTCCTTTGTAAACTGCAGCAGTACACTTGTTAGGAATATAATGTGGGATTAGGAAAAAAAAAAAAGAAGAAACTTTGAGATTTAGCATCTGGGACTGTACAATAGGCTACATTTTTCCAGGGTAATTGTTCGTTTTGTAAATCTGATACTGCTTATAATTCTTTGGCTGGGAGGCGGTACTGGGATTTAGTTTTAAATGGAAAACGCCTCTGGCTTTTAATTTTCTGGGCCCAGCAGTTTTCTGTTCTGGAATGGAGCCCTTGTTTCACACAGTTCATGTTTAGCTGCAGGGGTTTTAGTTTATAGCTTAGACTGGTTAAGCTTTTACTCCCAGAGGCCTCTGCATAGCAACTGTAGAAATCAACAAATAAGTTCATTTATGTCTGCAGCCTCCTCTCAGTAGCTGACTTTTTACATTTCCCAATATCCATTTCCTGACTTTTCTAGCCTGAGAGAAAAAAGCTCCACTAATTGGAGCTTATTTTAATTGAGCCTTAATATTGGATCTCACTGGAGTTGCCCCCAGAGCTACTGGGAACAGAATGAAATGAAAGTACCTAAGGTTGAAGATGTGTGTGCGTGTGTATGTGTGTGTGAAATTTTTCACTTGACCTACAGATTCTTTTCCCTGCTGAATAAATCATCAAGCCTGTTCACATTTCTGATTAAGGATCTGACAGCAGACGATAATAAAGACAATTGAGGTGTGAGACGTGTGATACAGAGCTGAAGAAATTGGTTTCTATAGTTACTTGACTGATTTCATGCAATTTTTAAGGATCTTTGTGCTAAATGAGAGTGATTTTCTGAGCAACCTTTTTCCTTAACTGTGCCTCTTGAACTATGAAATTTGTTGTTGCTTAACATTGCTGCACTTGGCTCCTAGGTGCCAGCAGCAGCAGCAGGTTATTTATGAATGCTTTAAAGGCCCTTATTGTTTGGATTAATGTAGGAGCCCAGGCAAAACAAATGGAAATCCAGTAAAATAGTATTCGAATCAATGCTCTGGATTTGCACCGTAGTAGAAGAAATTTGTAAAATAAGAGGAGAGAAGGAGCTTGCTTTACTATGTTTTAATTCTTTGTTTTCTGCTTACAACTCTTTCTTCATTCCTACAATCTGTGAGTACAAAGTTGCCCTAAAGCCCTTCCCAGTTTGCCTCTAGTGCCACCAGGATCAACAATCAGTGGGTGATGTTAATCTGTCTTGTTTTGTAGGTGACTTTACCTCTGCATCATCTCATTATTCCTACGCTTTCTTTCTTTTATTAAAAGACAGCAAAGTAATTTTTTTATGCAGCTTCTTTTCTCTTGTTCTATTAACAATAATATGTAGGATCTTTAAAAATACTCTGTATAGGTATGTGTTTTGGGTCTCTTTTTAGATTAGTTGATATTGTTAGAGATTTCTTTTAAAAAGTAGCATATAGGTGTACCGAAAAGGAGCCAACAAGAGCAAAGAAGGCATGTAAGTTAAGTGCTTGTTGTTCTACTATGTGTTGAGTTCACCTCCTTCATCTTGTGTCAGGCTAACACAGCCTGCCTCACACTTGTCCTGCATGTTTCTCCATGCTGTACTGCTCCCAGAGTGAGAGTCTCCAACTGCTTCACCAAAAGAAGAGGAGGCAAATGTGCCTCTTGGGACACAGATCTTTGTGTTGGTATTCCCTTGCCCTCTTCATTTTCCAGAGAATGAGTCAGCCAGAAGCTTCTCCAGGCTTGTCATGGAGAATAAACCCACCTTTTGTGCCAGTGATGTTTTCTTATCTGTAAGCTTGAGTGGAAATGAGGGCAAATGCAGCTGGAAAAATTTAGCACTTTATCGACAGTTTGGAGGTAAATGGTCAGCACACATTTGCATTAAAAAAATGCAAACACAAGTAGAACTGGAATAAGAACAAAATAAAAATCAACAAATATTTCAAGACTACAACTGGTAACTAAAGCATGGTGAATACTGGGATCAAGGTCTGAAATGGCTTACCCTTGTCTGTCTGTCTTGTCATGTTGTGATTATAGTCTGCTCCTAAGAAACCAGACTTGAAAACTTTGATACCTCTGTCAGCTGGAATCAGATCTTTTCCAGGTCAGTCTGGTTCAGTATCCACTGGAAAGCCTGACCTGATTGTCCGCTTGTAGTTCTTTAAGAAGGAATGTGGACCTGCCTTCATCAAAGCTGTCTTTTATATCTTTATGGTAACCCCCGGGGAGAAAGGAGAGTGTGTGGGGTAATAGCACTGTAGCATGTTCTAAAGCAAAGTTTCCCAAAATGCAGGGTGTACATCCTAACAATGAATACTTATAAATCCAGGATGTGCTGTCATCCAGCAGCTGGAGGCAATGTCTTAACATTGCTGGAAGTACATCCAGAGACTCTGCAGTGGATTCTTTTATCCAAAAGGCTGTACATAATTGCCGTGACCTTTTCATCCCTTTTTGCATGACCTATTGCCTCAAACTTCCCCTACACTAAGTCATTTACTTTCCTGTATTCTTAGTCTATGTAGCCTGCTATGAATTAAGTCTTTATTTACTTCCCCTTTTCACCTGTTTCGGCAGATTTTAATACCTATGGAAAGTGCACATTTCTTCAGAGACAGCTGCAAGGTTAGCCCCAAACTGCTGCTTTGTGCACTCAAGAATTTTGTCCTTACTCTCCTCATGGACCAGCTCTTTGTGCAACGGTGTTCCTGAAGTCTGGGTAAATTAACCCTGTTTTTCATTGTGTGCCTTATCTGCCTCTTCAGACTGACAGGATACAGTCCTCTCATTGTCCCTGATGCTCGCACTATTAAACCATAACTTTTTTAGGTGGTTTCTGCTATTTGCTGTTCTACTTTCTACAGTACTTTCAGTTACAAAGAAAATGTTCAGTCAATGCAATTCTTGAAGCTGTGTTTATAGTTCATCTGTGGCTTCATCCCTTTTGTGAAATGAGCTTACTTAAATTGAGTAGTTGTAGGATACTGTCAAATGTGCAAGCAAGTCATATGAACAGTGCATCCCAGAAGACCTGTAAAAATGTCTGTATTAAACAGTGTGTACTATAATTTTAAATATAAACCTGATCTCTTAGAATCATTGTGGTTGGAAAAGACCTCGAAGATCATCAAGTCCAACCAGCGCTGCCAAGTCTTAGACCACAAGTAAACCACGTCCCTATATGTGCCACATTTACACATCTTTTAAATACCTCCAGGGATGCTGACATAACTACTTCCCAGGACAGCCTGTTCCAATGCTTAACAACCCTTCTTGGTGAAGAAATTTTTCCTAATTTTTTTCTACTTCTGTCCATCATCTTCAAAGTGAGTAGTGCTTTTGTAGTATGGCTTTGGGAAGCTTAAGGCTGAGCCTGGGCAAACCTTTCAGAATGTTTGTGAGCAAGGTTGCTGCTTTGGGTTGAGCAGGTGAACAGGTATTTTACTGATAGCATCTTAGCTTATTTCCATAGTAGCTACCTTTATCTCTGCTCTTACTCTGTGTCACCTTGCAGCACCTATCAGTGGATAAAGGTGAGCACTACATCTCGAGCAAGGGGAAGAAATGTGTGGAGCAAGCACCTGGTGGGCAGCAGATCTGCGTCCTCCATTCCTTGCTCTGTCAGCATCTCTGTTCACTTATGTCTGCATAGATCTTCCCACTCATTTGTTCTCGCCTGCTTGATGTGCTTGTGCATTTTTTTGACACAGATACAAGACAGCAGTAGATGAGATGCTGAGAAAATTCAATACCTTTAGTATCAACTGACTGGGAGGAAAATAGCAAACCCTAGGGTTTTTATAGAGACTGAACAAACCTATCAAAAACATCAAACAGAGAGTCAGCATGATTCCAATGAGTTCTGGGTGTTACATAGTAATGACTGAATTTTAGTTGTTCTGTAGTATCTTTTCAACAGTCATCTTTTTTTCCTGTTTCATGTATCCATCCTAACTCCCTTATTTCCTGTCATATTCTCAGGTAACAAGTAACTGTAACCTGATTCTTTGCTGCTCTCTCTACCACCTCCAACCCAGATTTTCAAGCTCTTTGTTTCCTTTCCCCCCACACCTCTTGTGCTGCTTCTATATTTAGTCTTCTGGACCTAATTGTTCAAATTCTTTGACTGTTCTTGTGGCAGGGGAAAAGTTAACCATGACCTCTCAAAAAAGCAAACACAAGATGCTGCAAGCAAAATAAGATCTCATTGCTTTTTATGAGCCTTCAGTGACAGCCTGAGAGCTTCTGCTTAATTACCTGATTTATATTATCTTTATTGTTCTATAGTGTTTCTTGCCTGCTTCTGCATGGTTTTAGAGGGAAAAAAAGCACTATTATTGAAAAGACATATATTTTGTTAGCTGCAGTGTAGTCCTACAAATAACAGAAGGCTATCATCAGAGATTTGGTGTGCTACAAGTCTTGCAGAAAATCAGGGATGGAAATCCTGTAAAGCGTTAGATTATTGAGCAAGCTAAAAAGCAAACCAAATGCCTGTTTATGTGACATTCATATTGGTGTTTTGAAGAAACCTAAGAAAAGAGCAGCTGAGACACTGCATCGAAAACCATCTGGCTGAAAGATGATAACAACTATCTTTAGTGAAAAACAAACCCCCACAAAACTCCATTAAGCGTGTTTTTGCATTTTCAAATAGCCTTTTCTCAGTTTCTCTGAGAGACAGAAAATGGACACATAACCAGCTGTAAGTATGGCCTTACATTAGAAACTTGCTAATAGAGGAAATGTTAGGGCTAAAAGTACAAAAAGAAAATGATAATGGAGATCCA